AGCAGCCAAAGTCCTAGCCTTGAACATGCCAAGATCCCATATGGGTGCCAGTTCTAATCCTGGCAGTTCCACTTCCCATCCAGCTCTCTGCTTGTGGCCTGCGAGGATGGCCCAAAGCCTTGGGACCCTGCACCCATGTGGGAGACCTGGAAAGAAGTTCCTGGCTCCTGTCTCTGAATCGGCACAGCACCAGCCGTTGCGGTCACTTGGGGAGTGAATCATCGGACGGAAGATCTTCCTCTCTGTCTCTCCTCCTTCTGTATACCTGACTTTGCAATAAAAATAAATAAATCTTATAAAAATGTGTATTAATTGATCAAAGAGATTAACAGTAACGTTCCTATGCGTTCAAAAAGATGCAACGTATTCAAACACTAGAATGCTACATGTGTGATGCCTCGTAGTGCAGAAAGCACTTTTAATTTTGAAGATTTACTTATTTTTATCTTGAAAGGCAACATTGTAAAGAGAAGTGGATGCAGGGAGAAAAATCTTTCATCTGTTGGTTCACTCCCCAAACGGCTGCAATGGCTAGAGCAGAGCTGATCCAAAGCCAGGACACAGAAGCTTGTTCCGGATCTCCCATGTGGGTCCCAAGATTCTGGGCCATCCTCGACTGCTTTCCCAGGTCATGAGCAGTGTGCTAGATCAGGAAATGGAGCAGCTGGGACACAAACTGCTACCCATACGGGATGCTGGTGTCACAGCATTAGCCTGATGTACTACCACGCTAGCCCTAGTTCGGCAGATTTTTTTAAAAAGATTTATTTTTATTATTTTTTTGTTGGAAAGGCGGATATACAGAGAGGAGAGACAGAGAGGAAGATCTTACATCCGATGATTCACTCCCCAAGTGAGCGCAACGGCCGATACTATGCCGATCCGAAGCCAGGAGCCTCTTCCGGGTCTCCCACGTGGGTGCAGGTTCCCAATGCTTTGGGCCGTCCTTGACTGCTTTCCCAGGCCACAGGCAGGGAGCTGGAAGGGAAGCGGGGCTGCCGGGATTAGAACCGGTGCCCATAAGATGTATTTATTTTTATTAGGCAGATTTATAGAAAAGGAGAGACAGATTCTCTATCCGTTGTTTATACTCCTTAAGTGGCTACAGTGGCTGGAGTTGAGCTGATCTGAAGCCAGAAGCTTCTTTGGCATCTCCCACACTAGAGCAGGGTCCTAAGGCTTTCAGGGGTTTAGGCCATCCTCTACTGCCTTCCCAGGCCACAAGCAGGAAGCTGGAAGGAAAGCAGAGCAGCCAGAATAAGAACCGGTGCCCATATGGGATCCTAGTGTGTGGGATCTTTAGGCTAAAGGTGAGGACTTTAGCCACTAGGCTATTGCATCAGGCTCCTCTGACAGTTTTTCTTTGTTTCTGATACAAAAGCAAATTAATGAAGCTGACATTATGGTGAAGTAGGATGGACCACTGATTTTAAGTACTGGTTGCTTCATTTCTGATCCAGCTTCCTACTAACACACCTGGGAAAGCAGCAAATGACTGTACAAGTACCTGGGACTTTGTCAGGAGACCAGGATGGAGTTTCTGGCTCTTGGTTTTGGTCTAACCTAACTTATGCTGTAGTAGCCATCTATGGAGCGAACCAGCAGATGGAAGATCTCTCTGCTTCTATGTCTTTGTAACTCCTCCTTTTATTATTATTATTTTTTTAAGTTCATGGAAAGTGGAATTAGAACAGTTTATTTTTAAAAAAAAAAAAGTCTCTTGCAAGCATGAGATCCCATATGGGCTCATCATCCCATATGATCCCATATGGGTTCATGTCCCAGCTGCTCTGTTTCTCATTCAGCTCCCTGCTTGTGGCCTGGGAAAACAGTAGAGCACAGCCCAAAGCCTTGAGACCCTGCAACCGTGTGGGTGGAGGAATTTCCTGGTTTCTGATCAGCAATGCTCTGGCAATGTGGTCACTTGGGGAGTGAACCAGTGGATGAAAGATCTTTTTGTATCTCCTCCCTGTAAATCTGATCTATTTTTTCAAAGTAAAGAAATCTTAAAAACTTAACTTAAAAGGGTCTGGAACAGTAGCCCAGCAGCTAAAGTCTTCACCTTGCAAGCACCAGGATCCCATATGGGCACCGGTTTGTGTTCCAGTGTCCCCTTTCCTGTCTAGCTCCCTGCTTGTGGCCTAGGAAAGCAGTCAAGGACGGTCCAAATCCTTGGGACCCTGTACCTGCGTGGGAGACCCAGAATTGCTCCTGGCTCCTGGCTTCGGATTGGCTCAGCTCTAGCTCCTGCGTTCATTTGGGGAGTGAACCATAGGATGGAGAATCTTCCTCTGTCTCTCCTGTCTGTATATCTGCCTTTCCAATAATAAAAAAAAAAAAGAGTAAATCTTTTTTTTTTAAAGATTTATTTTTTATTATTATTTTTTAATTGGAAAGGCGGATATACAGAGAGGAGAGACAGAGAGGAAGATCTTCCGTCCGATGATTCACTCCCCAAGTGAGCGCAACGGGCCGATACTATGCCGATCCGAAGCCAGGAGCCTCTTCCGGGTCTCCCACGCAGGTGCAGGTTCCCAAAGCTTTGGGCCGTCCTCTGCTGCTTTCCCAGGGCCACAGGCAGGGAGCTGGAAGGGAAGCGGGGCTGCCGGGATTAGAACCGGCGCCCATATGGGATCCCGGGCGTGCAAGGCGAGGACCTTTAACCACTTGCGCCACCGCGCCGGGCCCAAAAAGAGTAAATCTTAAAAAAAAAAGTTTCATTTATTTGAAAGGTACAGCAACAGAGGAGAAAGGTAGGGAAAGAGAGAGAGAGAAAGAGACCTTCCATCTGCTGGCTCACTCTCCGAATGCCTGCAACAGCCAGGGCAGAACCAGATGTTAACACCTGAGCCTGCCACATGGGTGACAGGAAGCCACCATGCCCTGCCTGCCAGGGGCTGCATCAGCAGGGAGCTGGATCATGAGCAGGAACTCTGGTATGGGATGTGGGCATCCCGAGTGATGAGTACCACAACGTCTGCTCTGGTTATTTCACATTTTAGCTATTGTGAATAATGCTACACTGAGCATGCATGTGTTGTTTTATATGGACATATATTTCAATTCTCTTGGGTATGAACTTAGGTGTGGAATTGCAAGGCTCTACAGTAATTCTATGTTTAACTTTGTGAGAAACTGGCAGACTGCATTCCAAAGTGGTTGTACCATTTCATAATCACTGCAGAAGTATATGACACTTTTACTTTCTTTATATACTAACACTTCTAGCATTCCTGTTGCTGTTGTCATGGTAGGATTTTTAGTTTACTGGACATAAAGCGGTAAACATTTATTTTTCATCTTGAACCAGGTCTCTTCCTTTCCTGCCTCTTGTCTCTTGGTGGCATGCTGTCAGTCAACTGATCATCCATCAGCTGAAACCTGGACCTGGCCATTGTGGTCACTTATCATTTGAAGAGCAAACCAATAGATGGAAAATCTCTTTTTCATATCTTTCTGCCTTTCGAATAAAAGAAAAAAGAATAAAGGAGGGGCTGGGAGTAATTCAAGGCAGAGGTCAGATCTGCAGTTTATAATCTCAGCTCCAATGTGAGCCTGACAAGAAGACCTCAGCTGTTTCCGAAAGGGCAGGAACTGAGGACAGCACTGGCCTTGTCCTCAGCGTGCATTCCAAGGCCCTCTGTGTGAAGGCCTGAAGCACAATAGCAACCCTACAGAAACTATGTTTTTTTTTTTTCTATGATATTGTTTAATTTATAAGTTAAGCACAGTAAGAGATGAGCAACACTAAAAACAAGGCACAACAACAACAATGTCCTTTTTCCTTCTCCACAGTTTCACAAAGAGATGATTCTTACCATAGATGTTAGCAATCTCAGCATCCAATTCTTTTTCTTTTCTTCATGAAGCACTTTCTGATATATTCAAATTGTCAGCATCAAAACTCTTGCTTTTGCGAACTAATTATTAAGTCAAGTAAGAATGACTCAAAGGCCACGTTCTGCAATTCTGCACAACCCAACTAATGTTCTAGGAGAGGAGCAAATAGGCCAGTGCAATAGATAGCATGGATTCGCTGGAGGAGGAATGCCATGGACAGGACAGAGCCTGAGCTGTGGACGCCCACGTGGCAACAGGCACCCAAGCCCTTAGCACCTGTTACTCCCGGGATGCTGGAAACTAAAGAGGATTCAAAACAAGGAACTCCTGAGAGCCTGTGCTTCCAGAGTTCGGTTCCCCTTTATCCTTTAACCTCCTTCAGGGCTGCTTCTTCGACGCAACAAGCGTGCCGCGAAGCTCCTGACACACTTTTTCGATCCTATTTTCCTCACTAAAAATGTTTTTAGAGTAGTTTTTGATTCCATTTCACTTCTTTTTCTAGACAATGTATCACTTTTTGGTGGTGGCTCCTTTCGCTAAGAGGAAACCTCTAAGCGGGTTCCTGGGAGTTCTGGCGGGTCCCTCTCCCTGGACAGCGGGCTGGGAGCGTGCTCTAGGAGGTGGCTTTGTCCTGCCCTCACTTGCCTGGCTGAAAAGGCAGGAGGCGGAAACTCTAGCCTCGGCGCTCGCCAGCTGCCCCCCGGGCCGTGCGCGAATTCCTCGCCGCCCTGCCGGCGACCGGGAGCGGAGGCCTGGCCGGGCCTTGCGGCTCACCGCCCCTTCCATTCCCCGCCAGCGATCTGCTTCCGCGTTTTCCTCAGCGCCTGGAGCCGCCGGGGCGTGGAGGCGGTAACGCGCACGCGCACAGACGGCAGGCCCGGGCCGAGCGCGCGGCCGGGCGACTGCGGGTGAGAGAAGGGGGTCGGCCCCGGCGGGGGTGGCGAGGCCTTGGGGGTCGCGGCGGCGGCCCGGGCGGGTGGGGGGCCTCGGCCAGGGCCCCCAGGGACCCGGGGGCATGCGGGGACCTGGGGCGGGAGCCGGGGGCCGGGGCAGCGGGGCGGGTTGGGCCGTGGCCGGGCGGAGACCGCGCTTGGGCCGCCGTGACGCGGGCGCCGAGCCCGGCCCGCGGGGGTCGGGGCGGGGGAGCGGAAGGGGGCGGGCGCCGGCTCGTCCTCGGCACGAACTCTCCCTGACCTTGGCCGGGTCTCTGTAATGCTCTGAACCGGCGCCACCGTCGGTAAAATGGAACTCCTGAGCCCCGCGTCCTCCAAGGGTCGTTTTGCGGCTCAGTGGCGGGAACCCCCTCACGGTGCCTTGGAGTAACCGGGCGGTTTGGCCGGGGACTCGACCACCTCCGGTGAGAGAAAAGAGCTGCCTGGCCGTCGAGTTGTGTCACAGGCTCTGCCTTGGGGGGCCGGGCGGGGAGACGCTCTCTCTTTTTTTTAAGTTGAAGAAAATCTAGAATATGACGAAGTAGTTGAAAAGCTGTGGTTTAACGTAGGACGGGGAGCTTGGAGGAACGGGGGGGCCCTGGCTCAGATGAGCCACGTTGAGGCCCATGCTGCGAACACGGCTCTCTGTTCGTCTTTCTCTTGTGAATAAGAGCCCCTTAGCTTTTGAAGAATTCCTATCGGTGATTCCTGTGGTTTGCCCAGACCCCTCCCACCCACGTAGAAACGTCTGGTGCTGGCCAGGCAAGTTCAGAGTGTTGCCCATGTGAGTTCTTTGTGTACCATGGGCCCAAGTCAGGGCATCCAGTACAGCCATACCGTGGATGACTGTGGGAATGTCGGGACCCCTCCCTCCCGTGGACATAAATAGGCCACAGAAAGGAAGCATATTGAAGAGGTTGGGAGAAATTTCAAATCTTTGAATTGGCTTAAACGGAAACTTTCCACCCCAGGTGACTGGCATGCAGATGCCCATGCTCTGACGTTGCTGCCCCTCTACTGACATGGCCCACCGGGGTGGGGAGAGGGACTTCCAGACTTCGGCTCGGCGCATGGGCACCTCGCTGCTCTTCCAGCTTTCAGTCCATGAACGGGAACTGGACCTGGTTTTTCTGGATCATAGCTATGCCAAGCCGTGGAGTGCCCACCCAGATGCCAGCAGTGCCCGCCCCACCCGCATGCTCTTTGTTACTCCCCGGCGACAGCATGAAGCTACCATGTGAGTTTGGGCTTTTTAAAAAGCTTTCCTTAGGGCTGATGGAGGAGGAGGGTTGTATGAGGAGCCCCGTTGTTTAACTCAGCCGTGTCAGGGCTGCATACAGCACATCTAACTCCATTTAGGAAAGCAGGGTGTGCAAAAGGAAGCAAACAGCCTCGGGGCGGTGAGGTGTGCTCAATCTGTGGTTGCCTAAGCAGAAACAGAATGAAGGGTTTGTCGCAGGCCTCATGGGGACCCACAGGTAAATATTCCCCATGCCTGAGTCTTAGCTAATAAAAGTGAGGGAAAAGGAAATGGAAGACGATGAAACTGGGGAAGAAAACGACTGAAAAGTTGACTTAACAACAGCGGTTAGCCAAAAAACTGCCACACAGGCTAAGATTCTTTGTCACTTTAGTCCAGTGTCCTGGTTTGCTTGACAGTAGCAACAGTGGCGCTTTTTTATGGTAATGAGTTTTGCTTTCCCTGGTTTCACTTGCAAAGAACAAGAGCATTTATCCAAGACATGGCTTTCTCTCTTAGTCATACCTGGGTTAATAGTCTAAACCCCTCTGCTGGAGGGAGGAGGGCCACACTGTGGTGTAGCAGGGTGGACTTTTGCCTGCAGTGTCAGCATCCCATATGGTGCTGATTTGTGTCCTGTTTGCTTCACATCCTATTAAACTCCTTGTTTAGGGTCTGGGAGAGCAGTGGAGGATAGCCGTAAGTCCTTGGGGCCATTGCACCCACATTGGAAACCCAGAGGAAGCTCTTGGCTTCAGATAGGCTCAGCTCCAGCTATTGTGGTCATCTGGGGAGTGAACCAATGAATGGCAGGTATCTTTGTCTCTCTTCACTGTGTAACTCTGCCTTTCAAGTAAAAATAAGTCTTTAAAAACAACTGTCAAACCCCTGTTAGCTGTAATTATATTTTCAGCTGCACTGTGTTACAGAGTTAGGAATTTTCATAGATTAACTGGATGTAGCTGACACCATTATAAGTGTCTAATGATTCCTGTATAACCATTCTTTTGAACTTTAAGGAATTACTTATATTTCAGGGTTTATTACATGCCTTATCCTGGTGATAAAACCATGCTTTTTAAAAGGTTATTATTATTTATTTTATTTAGATTTATTTATTTGTATTGCAAAGTCAGATACATAGAGAGAGGAAGAGAGACAGAGAAATATCTTCTGTCCGATGGTTCACTCCCCAAAGTGATTGCCTGGCCAGAGCTAAGCCGATCCAAAGCCAGGAGCCTGGAGCCTCTTCTGGGTCTCCCATGAGGGTGCAGGGTCCCAAGGCTTTGGGCCATCCTTGATTGCTTTCCCAAGCTACAAGCAGGGAGCTGGATGGGAAGCAAGGCTGCCAGGATCAGAACCGGCGCCCGGGATTCTGGCACGTTCAAGGCGAGGACTTATGCTGCTAGGCCACACTGCTGGACCCCAAGGTTATTATTTTTTTTTTAAGATTTTTTCAATTGGAAAGTCAGATTTACAGAGAGAAGGACAAAGAAAGATCTTCCATCTACTGGCTCACTCCCCAAGTGGCTGAAAAAACCAGAGTTGAGTCTTTCCAAATCGAGGAGCCAGGAGCTTCTTCTGGGTTCCCCACATGGGTACAGAGGCAGCCCAGAGTTTTGGGCCATCCTCCACCGCTTTTTTCAGTCCACCAGCAGGGAGCTGGATGGGAAACAGAGCAGCTGGGACATGAACTGGACCCCCTTTTTTTTTTTTGTAAGATTTATTTGTGTTTACTTGAAAGACAAAGTGACATTCCATCTGCTGGTTTACTCCGAAATGGTTGTGAGCTGGTGCTGAGTGGTGCTGAAGTTAGGAGCCTGGAACTCCAGCTGGGTATCCTACGTGACTGGTAGAGATCCAAGCAATTTAGGCCATCCTTCACTGCTTTCCCAGGCACATTGGCAGGGACCAGGATCAAAAGTGGAGCAGCTGGTACTCGTACTGGCACTTAAGGAATGCTGACATCATAGGCTGACTCCTTATTACTTACACTTAATACACTGACTCCTTATTACTTATACTGTAATTCTTATAATTATTCTATATAATTATTCTGTACTGTAATACTGCTTAATTCTGTAAGGTTGGGGCATTGTGGCACAGTGGCTTACACAAACACCTGCAATGTTGATGTCCCATGATTAACAATTAATTTTTAAATAATTTGTTTTTAAATAAATATTTATTTTACTTGTTTGAAAGGATCACAGATGTCTTCCTTTCTGGTTCAATCCTCAAATGGTCACAACAGGTGAGACTGAGTCAGCCAAAGTCAGTACCTTGGAATTCCGTCTCAGGCTCTCATGTGGGTGGCAAGAGCCCAAGTAGTTGGGTTACCTTCCACTGCTTTCCAAGTGCAGTAGCAGGGAACTGAATCAGAAATAGAGCAGCCAGGATTCGAACCAGCGTTCCTGTGGGATACTGGCATCACAGTATCTTCACCTGCTGCTCCATGATGCCAGTCCCTTTGTGTTTGTTTTTAATCTTACTTAATGTTTAATCTTTCCTCAAGTATGAATTTTACCTTCAGTGATAGAGAGCTTTTAATTTTTATTTTCTTAATCCCTTTCTCCATTCCATCTTTTCTTTGAAAGATGGAGAGACAAAGGGAGCTGGTTCATTCCCCAAGTGGGTGCAACAACCAGGCTAGGCAAGGCCAAAGCCAGGGGCTTGGGACTCCATCCATCGCAGTCTCCCACATGAGTGGTAAGGGCCTAAGTATGTGGGCCACGTTTTGCTGTCTTTTCCAAAAGTAGAAAGTTGAATCTAAAGCAGAACAGCCAGGACTTGAACCAGCACTCCCATATCGGGTGTCAGTAGTTCAAGCAGTGGATTTTTCTGCAGTGTCACTGGACTGATCCCCTCACTCTGCAGTGAAGGGTAGCCCAAGTGCTTGGGCCCTTGCTACACACTTGGGAGACTCAGGTGGAATTCCAGGCTTCATTGGGCTTAGTCCCAGCTGTTGTACCCATTTGGGTGTGAAACAACAGATGCAGGATCTCTTTATTTCTTTGCTTCTTTAGATCCTCTTATTGAATCATAATGAATTAGAGGTACCATGACATTGATTTTTTTTTTAAGATTTATTTATTTTTATTAGAAAGTCATTTACAAAAAGGAGGAGAGACAGAGGACAGTCTTACATCCACTGATTGACTTCCCAAGTGGCTACAACGGCCAGAGCTGAGCTGATCTGATGCCTGAATCCCTAAGCCTCTTCCAGGTCTCCCACGTGGGTGCAGGTTCCCAAGGCTTTGGCTCGTCCTCAACTGCTTTCCTGGGCCACAAGCAGGGAGCTGGATAGGAAGCGGGGCTGCTGGGACATGAACCAGCACCCATTTGGGATCCTGGTGTGCACGGCAAGGACTTTAGCTGCTAGACTATAACGGCGGGCCCGATGCCTGTAGAATGGTGTTTTTTTAATTTAATTTCCCAACAACGTTAGTAGTTTGTGGCCTCTTTTGGTTGTGCAGGGCACAGGAGCTGTTACTGTAGACAGTAATCTAGCATCTCCCTGATGATTTTGGCCTAGGGCATAACTGAAATAGTGCGTTAACTAAAATTTGAAATCATTTTTCTCTTTCTTGTATGACCTTGAGTGTCCTGTGTCCGTATCTTGTGACTTTTTCTTTTTTTAAGATTTTATTTGAAAGGCAGAGATAGACAGATCTTCCATTGGCTGGTTGATGACTCATATTGGCAACACTGACTGGGCCTGGGCTAAGCCAATGCCAGGAGCCAAGGGACTCCTTTAGGCCCATCCAGGTCTCCTAGGTGGGTAGCAGGTACTCAGGCCATCTTCTCTGCCGGGTATTCCCAAGGAGCTGGATTTGAAGTGGAACAGCCAGAAGTCAAATCAGTGCTCATATGGGATGTTTGCATTTCAGAAGGGGGCTTACCGCACTTTGCAACAATGCCAGCTTCTCATGTTATTTTAAAAAAAAAAAAAAAGTGAGATTCTGTGTACTTGGTTGTTCTGGTACTTAGAAAATCACTTCCTCTTACAAATCCTTTCTCTATATATAGGCCCTAAAAATAGGAATTTGACATGGTCCAGAAACTCTTAGGCTGCTGTGGTTAGAGTGTTGTGGCAGTAAATGTATGTAGAAGGTAGGGGTAAAGTGACAGACTGTCTTATACAGGATTTTGACTATGGGAAGAAGTCATTAAAGGATTTTTAGCCAGAGATCCAGTTCCTTTTTTAGGAAGATCACATTGGATCTTTGTTGAATAATTTATAGTATAAGAATGGGACTTAGTGCTTGGCGCTATGGCTCAGTGGCTGAAATTCTCACCTTGTAAGCTCCAGGATCCCATATGGGTGTCTGTTCGTATCCTGGCTGCTCCACTTTCCATCTAGCTCCTTGCTTGTGACCTGGGAAAGCAGTAGAGGATGGCAAAGGACATTGGGACCCCCTCGTAGGAGACCTGAAAGAAACTCCTAGCTCATGATTTTGGATTGGCTCAGCTCTGGGTGCTGCAGCCACTTGTGGAGTAAACCAGTCGATGGAGATCTTTCTGTCTCTACTCTCTGTAATCTGTCTTTCCAATAAAAATAAATCTTTTTAAAAAAAGAAAAAAGGTGGGATTTAGAGAGTCACTAAGAAGGCTGTTGGATAAGACCAAGAATGGATCTGAGATCATGTTAGGTTGCACAGAGATCAGAACAGTACAAACAGGAACTGGTACGATGGCTGAACTGGCTAGTCCTCTGCCTGTAAGTGCCAGCATCCCAGATAGGTGCTGGTTTGTGTCCTGGCTGCTCTATTTCTGATACAGCTCTCTACTTATGGCCTGGGAAAGCAGCAGAAGATGGCTCAAGTCACTTGGGGCCCCTGTGACTGCATGGGAGACTTGGGGGAGGCTCTTAGTGCTGGAGTTCTGACCAGCACAGCTCTGGATATTAACTGGGCAAGACTCGTAGAACCTAGGTATAAGATCGTGAGGAGTTCTTTTTTTTTTTTTTTTTTAAGATTTATTTATTTTTATTGCAAAGTCAGATATACAGAGAGGAGGAGAGACAGAGAGGAAGATCTTCTATCCAATGATTCACTCCCCAAGTGGCTGCAGTGGCTGGTGCTGCACCAATCTGAAACCAGGAGCCAGGAAATTCTTCCGGGTCTGCCACATGGGTGCAGGGTCCCAAGGCTTTGGGCCATCTTCAACTGCTTTCCCAGGCCACAAGCAGAGAGCTGGATGGGAAGTAGAGCTGCCAGGATTAGAACCGGTGTCCATATGGGATCCTGGCGCATTCAAGGTAAGGACTTTAGCCACTAGGCCACCCTGCCAGGCCCTCGTGAGGAGTTCTTTATGTTCAGTTGCCTAGCCCAATGTCTGCCCAGAAAAGATAATCAGTTCTTTTGTCTACCACCAAACCTATCTGCATATTACTTTTCTTCATTTCATAGTGATATAATTATTCAAGTCATTGGGAATGAATGCAATAAAATCATTGAGGTCATAAAGTAATTGTGATGCCTGACAGACAGCTGGTAGACCAGTTTGATTAGTACACTGTCAGGAGACAGAGTTGGTTAGATGTATTATGAAATGACAAAGGACCATTGTGGCACTAGAATTTCGTTAATGTTGTTTTAAAATATGGAAAGTCCCTTAGGTATCCATTCTGTTTTAGGCTCTATTCAAACTGAGTTAAATAGCTGAGGTGTCTGAATTTCAGGTGCTTTGTTTAAGCAGTCATGGGCTTTTACAAGCATGTTAATTACTAGTTTGCTTGATAATGAAAGGGAAAGTTTACAGGAGTTATTAAAATGCTAGACCTGCACTGTCAAATGGAATTCTTGGAAGTAATGGAAATGTCTATTCCTATTATGCCAGCAGTGTGACCAGTAGTTAAATTTTTTACAAAAGATTTTATTTATTTATTTATTGGAAAGTTAGATATACAGAGAGGAGGAGAGACAGAGAGGAAGATCTTCCTTCCGATGTTTCACTCCCCAAGTGAGTGAATAGCAACGGTCGATGCTGTGCTGATCCTAAGCCAGGATCCAGGAACTTCTTCCGGGTCTCCCACGCGGGTGCAGGGTCCCAAAGCTTTGGGCTGTCCTTGACTGCTTTCCCAGGCCACAAGCAGGGAGCTGGACGGGAAGTGGAGCTGCCAGGATTAGAACCGGCGCTCATATGGGATCCTGGCACATTCTAGGCGAGGACTTTAGCTGCTAGGCCACGCTGCTGGGCCCCAGTAGTTAAAATTTATCTGTTGACCATTTGGCTAGTGTGGCAGAGAAACTGAATTTCCAACTCTGTTTTTATTAATGTTTTTAAAGGTATATTTTATTTTTATTTGAAAGCAGGTTCACAAAGTGGAGGAGAGATAGAGAAGGTCTTTACCTGCTGATTCTTTCCCCATATGGCTGCAACGGCCAGAGCTGAGCTGATCCCAGGATGGGAGCCAGGATCTTCTGAGTCTCCCATGTGGGTACAGGGTCCTAAGGACTTAGGCCATTCTCCACTGCTTCCTCGGGCCACAAGAAGGGAGATGGATGGAAATTGGAGCATCTGGGATACAAACTGGTGCCCATATAGATTGGTGACACCATAGAATAGAAGATTAGCCTATTGAGCCATGGTGCTGGCCTTTAATTTCTTTTTCTTTTCTTTTTTCTTTTTAATTTTATTTTATTTGAAAGTCAGAGTTAGAGAGGAAGAGAGATAGAGAATCTTCCATCTGTTTGTTCACTCTCCAGATGGCTACAATGACCAGGACTGGACCAGGCTGAAGCCAGGAGCCAGGAGCTTCTTCTAGGTCTCCCACATGGGTGCAGGGACCCAGGGACTTGGGCCGCCTTCTGCTGCTTTTCCAGGCAATAAGCAGGGAGCTGGATTGGAAGTGGAACAGCCTGGACACCAACCAGCACCCATAAGGGATGTCGGCGCTGCAGACAGAAGCTTGGTCTACATACACCACATCCCTGGCCCCTATTACATTTCTTTAATTTTGGGTGGCTTACAGCTATTGTATTGCTCACTGTACTGGACAGCATGTTTGAGAAGTCGGTTATTTGCTTATGGAGTATATTTGTCTTCTGTTTGTTGGTCAGACTTATTTTTTTAAAATGACTTGTGTTCCTCCAGCACATACTACCTGCATGTCAGAGGGTAGGGGTATAGATAAATGTGAAAAAAAAGGCCTTTGATTCCAGATTCTCTTGTAGAGAAACAGTGTACTTATGCATAATTTAAAATTATTAAACTTGTGTAAAGTACATGTGGCCTGGTCCCATTCCCTCACTTGTTTACAGTGAATCAGACGTCCCAATAGATGTTGAGACCATCACGTCAGCCCCTGTACCGCTGTATGACAATCAGAAGGCACGCAGCGTGATGAATGAGTGTGAACGGCATGTCATCTTCGCCAGGACTGATGCGGATGCCCCTCCCCCTCCGGAGGACTGGGAGGAGCATGTCAACAGGTAGGCCAGTCCTCAGGAAGGTGGCTCACTTCAGGGCCAGTGCTTACCCTCCTGGAATTATTTTCTGTTGTTATCCTGATTGCGCTTACCAGGAGTTTGTTTCATTTATGGTCATGCAGATTTCTGCGTTATAATTCTTGGCGTACTCTGCTCTGAGCTCTGTGAGAGTGGCTCGGCTCCCAGCCATCTTTGTGTGTTCTTGCGTTAGGACACTGCCTGACAACATGCTATGCCCGTATTAAGTGTTGAATAAACAAAAAGCAAATGAATTGCTAGGTATGATAAACTAAGTTACTTATTTAAGACAGGTGCCTTACAAGGTTACCAAGGCTGAAAAAATGGACATCTTTAAGATGCTATGTTTATATGGTTTATAACTAGGATAATGGAAAGGGTTTTTTTTTTTTTAAGATTTATTTATTTTTTTATTGGAAAGACAGATATACAGAAAGGAGGAGAGACAGAGAGGAAGAGAGAGAGGAAGATCTTCCTTTGGTTCACTGCCCAAGGGGCCACAATGGCTGGAGCTGAGCCAATCCAAAGCCAGGAACCAGGAGCTTTCTCCCACACGGGTGCAGGGTCCCAAAGCCTTGGGCTGTCCTGGACTGCTTTCCCAGGCCACAGGCAGGGAGCTGGATGGGAAGCAGGGCCGCCTGAATTAGAACCAGTGCCCATATGGGATCCCAGCAGGTTCAGGGCAAGGACTTTAACCACTACAGTATCGCACTGGGCCCTGGAAAGGTTTTGAAGTTTCAGGAAAAGCTAACATGTTTGGGTGGTAGATGTGCAAACTGTGCTTCTTTTCCTTGTTTTGTTTTTAATCCTCACTGAGTTTGAGAGACAGAGAGTGAACTCCCATTCATTGGTTCATTCTCCAAATGCATGCGACGCTTGGGCTGGGTCAGGCTGAAGTCGGGAGCTAAAAATTCAAACCTCAGGTTTTCTCTGTGGGTGGCAGATAGCAAACTGCTTAAAGCACTGTCTCCTCCCAGGGTCCACATTGACAGGAAGCTAGGCTCGGGAGCTGGAACCAGAAACCAAACCCAGATATTGTGGTATGGCCTATGGGCACCTTAACTGGCATCCCAACCCTTAGACCAGTTGCCTGCTCTCAATCTGTGATATTTGAAGACATACCTAAGCCCATTTTCATGGGTTTCCTGGCTGGTTTTGTTCCCATGACTCAGCATTTCTGTCCATGTTATTTGTCTGTATTCATTTGCCAAGAATTTATTTATGTCATTATGTAACAGTTTTATAGAGATATTTACATGCGATACAATTCACTCATTTGATGTATATGGTTAGTAGTTTTTATTATATTCAAAATATTAGTATGTGTACCACAATTTGGTGAATGTTGTCATCTCCCTGAGAAAGGGACTCCATTTCTGTTAATCATACTCCTATTTCCTTTTTTTTAAAATTTTTTTTAATTATTATCATTTAATGGTACAGTTCCATAGGCCCTGGAACTTCCCTTGTCTCCTCCCCAATCTCCTCTCCCCTCACTGAGTTCCCCTATTTCGTTACTATAGCAGAGTTCTTCATACATAGTCATATGTTCATCATGGCAGGCATGGGCAATGGCAGAGAGTCCAGCATCCTATTGTCAAGATACAGTAAACAGTTTCATTGGGAGGCCATCTTTGTCTGGAAGTAGAGATACATACTGCATTGCATCCTCACATCTGGATATGATGGTCTCTATTACACATTTACTATACATTCCCTTAAACGAAAAGCCACAAAACAAAATCAGCAACCGGAATAAAAAAGAAATTAACAACTCCATGAAGTTAAATAACATGCTACTGAAACATTAATGTGTCGCTGAAGAAATGAAAAAAAAAATCATTAACCTTCTTGAAGAAAGTGATGCTACTGTATGATCTATCCTATCTCTTAATTCCTCCAGTTTCTGGGATCTGCTAATCTCCTTTCTGTCTCCTTAGCTTTGTCTTTCCTGGACATTTGCTGTAAATGCAGTGATGTGGTCTTTTGTGTCTGGTTTCTTTCATATAGTATTTTTAAGGTTCATCCTGATGATTGCTGAATGATAATCCATTGTATGTATATCCTATGTTTTATTTATGTGTTGGTCAGTTGCTAACAGTTGAAGTAGTTATGATTAAGACTGTTAATGAACAGTGGTGTATAAGTTTTTGTATAAATATCTGTTTTTAATTCTGTTGGATATATATGTGGGAGTGGAATTACTAGATGGTGTGGTAACCCTGTATTTAACTTTTGAGGAACTTCAAGACTGTTTTCCGAAATGATTTCAACATTTTATTATTATTATTATTATTATTATTAAAGATTTATTTATTTATTGCAAAGTCAGATCTACAGAAAGGAGGAGAGACAGAGAGGAAGATCTTACGTCCGATGATTCACTCCCCAAGTGAGTGCAACGGCCGATGCTATGCCGATCCTAAGCCAGGATCCAGGAACTTCTTCCGGGTCTCCCACGCTGGTGCAGCGTCCCAAAGCTTTGGGCTGTCCTTGACTGCCTTCCCAGGCCACAAGCAGGGAATGGATGGGAAGCGGGGCTGCCAGGATTAGAACCGGCGCTCATATGGGATCCCAGGCGTGCAAGGTGAGGACCTTAACCATTGCGCCACGCCGCTGGGCCCTTATTATTTTTTTTCTAAGATTTGCTCCCCAAATGGCTGCAATGAGCGAGGCTGGGCCAGGCCAAAGCTAGCAGCCAGGGACTTAAATCTGGAGTTCCCATATGGGTGCAGGGGTCCGAGTACTCAGGTCATCTTCTGCTTTCCTAGGTACATCAGCAAGGAAGTTAATTGGAATAGGACATCTGAGGCATGACCTGGTGCCCATATGGTGTGCTAGAGTTGCAGGAGTGGCTTAACATAACATCATCCTTCCATTTTGCATTCTTACCAGCAGTGTATGAAAATTGTAATTTCTCTACATCCTTGCCAACATTTGTTTATTTCTTTCTTTTCCTCTCCCTAAAAATAACCATTTTACTGTCTGTAAAGATGACATTTCAGGGTGGTTTTAATTTGCATCTTCTTGATAGCTGTCTAAATCTATTTATACATCTTATGTAGAACAATGTTACTCCTTACATCAGGAGTTGGTCTGTGGAGACAATGTTGGGAAAACCTTATTTTATAATAACAAAAGAGAAAAAAGGTGGAAAAAGGGGCAGGAAACTTTGAGGTAACTGGCCTGATTTGTGAGGCTGGTTGGAAGTTGGGAATGAACGTAAGCATATGCTGATGATCTGTGAAAGGAGAAGAGGCTCTGTGAAGAAGAGCTTGAGAAGTTGACTGAGTCTTGAATTCATATTAATGCTGTGACCTACAAAGGGGACCTGTCCTTCAGAGTTTAAGATCAAGAGAAAAACTGTGGGCCTGGTACGATAGCGCAGTGGGTAAAGTTCTTGCCTTGCATGTGCCAGGATCCCATATGGTCGCCAGTTCTAATCCCAGCAGACCTGCTTCCCATCCAGCTCCTTGCTTGTGGCCTGGGAAAGCAGTTGAGGATGACCCAAAAGCCTTGGGACCCTGCACCCACGTGGGAGACCCAGAATTGCTCCTGGCTTCAGATTGGCTCAGCTCTAGCCGTTGCGTTCATTTGGGGAGTGAACCATAGCACGGAGAATCTTCCTCTGCCTTTCCAATAAAAAATAAATAAATCTTTAAAAAAAAAGAAAAAGAAAAACTGCTGTGGGTGAGGATCAGCTACTAGAATATTGCTGGAGTCACTGAATTTGGCAAGAGGGTTTGTAATAATTAAAAAATTAATAATAAGAACAGCCAAAAAAAATCTCTTAATTCTGGTAACTCTCTTTGTATTTATTTATTACTTTTATAAAAGATGCATTTGTTTCTTTGAATGGTTGAGTTACAGAAAGAGGGAAAGACTAAGGAGAGAAATTTCCATTTGCTGTTTCAATCGCCAAGTGGCATCAGTGGCCAAGGGTAGGCCAGGCCAAAGCCAGAGCTGGAATCTTCATATGGGTATCCCATGGGGTGCAGAGGCCTAAGAACTTTGGGACACCTGCTGCTGCTGCCTGGGCAGAGGCTCCTGAGGATGAGAATAGGGGGAGCCATTCCACTCTGGAAGTGGACAGGCGAGTGAAGAGTCCACTCAAAGGCCCTGTCCTTCAGGATGGTGTGTGGCGTACCTCTCTTCCCTCTAGTCAAGGTGGGCACACAAAAGAGGCTGGGGCATTCCTTCACCTGCTCAGTCCTACAGAGAAGCACAAGTTCTTTTTATTTATTTGTAAATTGAAAAGCAGAGATACCAACAGAGGCAGGCACACAGAGGGAGCTCTTTCGACTACTTACTCCCCAAATGCCCACAAAAGCATAGGTTGGTCCTGTTCTCCTACCTGGATGGCAAGGACCCACATACTTGAGTCATTATCAGTCATTATCTGCTTCCTAATGTATGGGTGTGCATTACGGGAATCTGGAATCAGAAGTAGAGCCAGGCCTTGAACTCGGGCACTCTGGTATGGGATGTTGGCACTGCAAGCAGCATCTTAACCACTACATCAAATGCCTCTGCCTCAACAAATTATTTTTATTCTATTTAAAAAATTTTTATATACTTAAAAAAATTTTTTTTAGGTGATGTTTACATAGTTGATCATGGTGGGAATGGTTTAGGGCTGGGGAGAAGTGGGTGTGCTCATTGATTCCAAAGTTTCTATCTCTTCCATTTCTGAGGGGAGGAGAAACAACAGACAAATTTTTATCTTGCTCTGTTTTTCTATAATCTTGTGGACCTATGTCCTATTTTGTCATGTACTAGACTGATAGAATTTGGTAGAGCTCAGTTTATTTTTATATATTTTTTTTAGTGTTTGGTGAAATTTTGTCTTGGGTTTGCAAACCATCTCTTCTGGTAGGTCGCTTTTACGCATGGTTCATTTCATGATTTGATGATATTGAGGAGCTTCAGCTTGGGAAGAGGTCACCATTTGATGACCCTGTTCCTGTTTGGAGTTGGGAGTTCCC